GATCTTGAAATCTGATTGGATTGCGCCACAAAAATTTCACGTGACTGCAAATTTTTTATGGCAATACTGGGGAAGATTGGCTTTAACGGTTCCCCAAATTTGGATGTTGCAGATCACCCCCTTTTTTGTGTGATTAGAAAATTCTCGAGACTTCCATTTAAGTCTATGACTATGAAAATCCTTGAGGCTAAATTTACGCCAATCGTTTGTTTCTTATTTGATAAACAACTGCCTTTTAAAGCCCTCGGGATCATGGCGGATTCTTAGACTACATAGTCATAAGACAATTATATTAAAATTAATTCGAAGGTTTATTATTAAATGATTTTGTTTTTAAAAAAAACAAAAATACTATATAAATCGGTTCTAGAATAGTCTTTTACTAATAGTAGATCAAGTTCCATATTTGGTAATATCCGGGACTGTAATGTTAGTAAATCATTAAACTTGGATCATTGCTTCAGTGAACATAAAAAGATCAACTTTCAAACATTTAAAGTTTCTAAAGATTACGTCTTTTTTATATTTTGTAAGTGGAAATCGAAGTTAAATGGATTCGGAATATCTTAATTAGGATCTCTTGCAGCATAGGTGACGCCACAAATAAATCAATTTATTTCAAATAGGCGTCACCCATACTGCAAGAAATCCCTTAATTAAATTAGAACATAAGATAAAATGAATTTATTAATATAAATCTACATACTAATCCTAAACTCTTAGCGTTAGGAAATTCTGTTCTCTTTTACACAACATATATGAGGTATTTACATATTAAAACAGAAAATTAAATTTAAATGATCTACAAATAGTTAGTAATACATATGAAATTGTTTACTTCAAGTCATTTTGTGGATCTTTTTACTAAATAATTGGCTCTTATAACAAACTTTTTTATTGAATAGATCTTTATTCAAAAACCAAATAATCCATTTTTCAAAAAATTGTAAAAATGGGCTGTTTCAATATTTATCACCCATATTTCCGAATCGGATCGGGTTTACCTAAAAGTTCAGATTGTCTATAATCTGAACTTTCAGAACAAATTCATTGAAATACATCAAAAACCCTGAGTTGCATGGATCGAGTTCGAGTTTGGCTATAATTCGTTCGGAACACAAGCTAAAACAGTAACCTGATTCTAACATCATTAGAACCAGAAGAATATGGATAACTATGCAATTCTACTTATTGTACGAAATTATGCTATTCAGGATACATTTATGGTTTATCTCTCAAGATCTACGGAATAAACGTAAATCTTACAGATTTACACCTATTTGAAATTATCAATGAATATCTGTGTATTAAAAAAGATCTTTTTTTTAAAAATAGGTGCATAGATTTAAACTGGGTCACTCACGAAGGTTTAACCTATTAAATATTATTATGCCTAATCTATATATGGTGTATCTGAAGTTGCCACTTCAAGCATTGAAAGTTGAGATACGTATACTTATTTTTGCGAATAATACAAGCCCAAAGAGACAATTTGATATAAGATTAATGCATGAGGGCAGAAATTTAAGATTAAGATGTTGATTTTAGGATCATAAGTAAACTTTTATTTAGTTCTCGTTGATATTTACTTTGCATGTGATCTGATTTTCACAAAATAGCGGCGCTGCTCAAAATCACTGATTGGTCGCTTCTTTTTTAAGAGTTTGTATTACTCGCGAAAATGCACTTGATGTACTAAAGTTGTGCGTTAGATGATAATTCCAAGTTAGTTCAACAGCAATTCCATAAAATACGTATTAGGGTTGTGCGTCAACTAAGTAAATCAAATTTATATCAGGTTGTCTTAACATTCAATTATTAAAAAATTTTCAATTAAAATTTGATACATATATTACGAAATAAATATGAAAGAACCTAAATTTCTTTTAGATGCACAGGTCGAATTTTTTTCTTTTTCAAAGTTTTCTAAAAACTAAACGTTTCCTACGCAATACTATTACAAAGTTACGAAGCCTTCTTTTAAATATTATAAACATTTAGTCCAAATCTATTATTTTTAATATATTCTGATTTTCAATATTGAATACAGAAATATTGAATTTAAGCCGAGTTGTACTTTTTTTAATATAAAGGATTGCTTCATAACTTTCCTCGTAGAGACTTAATATTAATTCTTTCAAAATATTACTTTGAATTATGGTACGGTTAGAGCTGAGCATCTGGTTTTGTTATATACTTAACAATGGGTATATACAAATCATATAAGCATCGATCTTGATTTACATATTTGACGTGGCAATTTAATTGTTACACGAAAAATTTATTTATATGATACCATATATAGTTTTGATTACTTAGTTGACGCACAACAAAATACGTATGCTTCGTATTGTGTTTTTTGGATTAAGCACGTTTTTGCATGTGGTTATCTAGCAAAATCAAGATTCCGATCTCGGTACACTAACCATTCAAAATAAATAGAAAATTCAATACCAGGGGATGGATCATTAGGTAATGATCTTCAATGAAGAATCATAGTAAATTTGTGAGATTTAAATTTGGTATCACTCATATAATTCATTATCACCAACATTGGACCGTCTAAAGAATAAAGATTATTAATAGTCAAGATCAGCAAGTAAACTATTTTTACTTATTACATATTTAGAGCTATTTTATCGATCGACAAGAATTCTTGGAAAATTCAAGAATATAGATGATCAATTCAGAATAATGTACGCATAAACATGATATATATATATAACCTTTTTGTATGAACTTTTTTTACAAGTAATAAGTCATTTAGAAGCCCCAACAAATGTCTCATACTGGTGACAATTTTAGTATTGATGATAATAATAATGACTTCCTTTACTTTTTCACATACCCTGACGAGAATTATACATGCCCACCAGCAGTTTATTCAGAATATGAAATTTATGATCAATTTATAGATCAAGCTAGTAATATTGTTAGTTACGGAGGGACATTAATAACAGTCGCGTATATGGCATTAACTCTTAATTTGGGTGGCGTAATACCTTTTTTCTTGACGATTTTTTTATCTTAACATTTTCATTATCCCCAATCATACCATTTTATGTAATTGGGCAAACTATAATACTATTTAATCGAAATTATTATCTAAAATTTGCATTGCCATTTCTCCTTTCATTATGGGTATTTATTGTTTGGATAATCGCAGCAATGGTTTATAAATTTAACTACCAACATTCCTTTTTCAGAAATGTTAAAGAAAAGAATCTTTATAAAATTAGAGGATTCTTTTTGTACGTTTTATTATTTTTTGTTATTTCTATATCAGTACTTGATATTTTTGATGCTCAAGAATTCAAATTCTCTCATTTCACTTGGTTTAAATTTGTTGCTTTCAAATCGTTAAATTTAGCCGCCGATGTCCTTCATTTTTCATTAGTAACCTACCTATTTTGGTACTATTATCGTCTTAAACCTGGTGGTGTTCCTCGTCGTATGTTTTTTATTACCTTGTTTGTATCACAGGCTCAATTATTCTTTGCGTACGCTTACATGTGTACTCTTCCAGTTGTTGATTCTATGTTTAATTTTCTTCTTGGTACGGTTTTGTCAAGAACGATTTCTTCATTCTTTAGTAAAAATGATTTTGCAGATTTCCTAATGGCGGTCGAAGATAAAAATTCAGCTATAGTCGAAACAATTGAATGTATTAGAATGCAAAGTGATGATGGTGAAGCTTTAAGAGATTTTGAAATTATAACTATTAATGAGAACGAAAATGATGATGGTACAACAATTGTTACCCCGATTGAAGTTGGGTTTTTTAAAAAATTGATTGCATTTTTCTTTTTTCTTAATATTGAAAATGGAAAATTTGTGTATAAAATTGATAAAGTTAATTATTTAGATGCACGTAATTTGAATATAAAAGAAAGTATAGATGTTTATGTTGAACACAGTTTCTTAAAGATAGAAACAGGCCAAACCATTTATGTCGGGAAAAATAAGCTCAAGAGATGTATTAACTTAACTGATCACTGGCCACTCAAGATTGAACATGGTAGAATATATGTACAATCTCCTGCCGGAAAATCTTTTGTTGATTTGACTGGGCACAAATATTTTGAAATTAAGCGTGGTAAAATCATGCATATGGAATATGATAAGATTAAAGAAGTTATTGATATAGTTGATCATGGCTTATTGAAAATCGTAAAATTAGATTATGGTTTTAAAGTCGTTTATATGAAAACCCCTGCGGCAACAAAATTTATAGATTTAACAGAACATGGATTATTGAATTATATAGTTTATGGCCATAAAAAAGGTGATATTTTTGAAGCGTAGTGTTTAGTCTATAATTCAATTGGATCATTTAAATTATATTATTTTCAATTTTTTTTTTTTTTTTTTTTTCGAATAAATAATAATAACAATTCAAAATTTGGATAATGTTCTCAATATTGATGCCTGACGAATGACGAAACCTTTCGTTACTGACGAATGACGAAACGGTTTCTTCAGGCAACTTCGAATTGACGAATGACGAAATTCGTGAAGATGAATGACAAAAATCATGACGAAACATAAATTTTATGGTGTAAAAAAATTAAAAAAGATTTAGAGCTATCCAATGGAAATAAAATTGAACTTAATTTTTGTTCATTATCATATCCATCCAGTTTAGGAAAACAGGAGCGACCGTTCAAATTCGTAGATGATTCAATATAATTAACGTGATTGTCAACCAATCGTATCTCTAATTGTAGCAAATCGGCCAATCAGATTGAAAAAAAAGTTATGGAATTCACAGAGATTCAAGAATATGTTTTAGGGCGAAGCAAAAACATCATTTCATCCGTTAAATTTATTTTCTTTTCATAGATAATTAAGCTACCCGAGCTTTTCAAAAAAGTATTGTAAAATTTATAAAAAAATTATTTATCAATCGTGTTACCATATCGGAATCATCTTCGAATTTGAACGGTCGACCTGTTGTTTAGGCACCTTTATCCAACATTTCTGATGTTTACATTACTCGCTCGGATGTATCCGATATGTCTGACGAAGAAGGGACCGACGAAACTTCGTGATGGAATAACAGGAAAAAAATTTAAGACTCAGAATCGCTATAAAGATGCTTGTTGAAAGATTGACAACTGCATTTTTATATTTTATTGGTCTAATTAATTTCGTCAAGAGTTTCGTCAATCGTCAGTAGTTATGTCAAATCGTCAGGTTTCGTCAGACGAAACCATTGAATAAACTATTTAGTTAACCCAAAATAGTTTCGTTATTAGCTTGAGCGCAAAGTTCTGATATCATTTGTAGATCTGTAGTCCTATATGAAAATCAATAAGTGAAGATTTTTGTTACATAGTAAATACTGTAGCAATAGCCTAATTTCAATGAATATTTAAGTCTTATTATTTTAGGGTTATGAAAAGAGCTTCTTATTGAAAAGCTTGTCAACAAAGTGACAGAGCGTTCATTATTGCGAAATCAGATGACTTTGTATGATCAGATGACTTTAT